TGGCGCTTGTGTGTGGGTGTGTGGGGGGGGGGGGAAATGGAAGAACTGCCGGGCCAGGGACTTGGCCCCCCTCCAGGGGAGCAGAGCCCCCTCCCCGCAGCCTCCTCCCAGCCCAATGGCTGACCGGGACCAGAGCCCCCCTTGGCCCGGGATCGCGCCTTGCCCTGCTCAGCCCGGTCTCCGCCCCCACCGCCCGGAGAGGGCAATTCAGGAAACCATTTGAGTCGCCGAGTCTGGACAAGTCTTTGCGTATTACCGCTGCGCGCCCCCCTCCAGGGGAGCAGAGCCCCCTCCCCGCAGCCTCCTCCCAGCCCAATGGCTGACCGGGACCAGAGCCCCCCTTGGCCCGGGATCGCGCCTTGCCCTGCTCAGCCCGGTCTCCGCCCCCACCGCCCGGAGAGGGCAATTCAGGAAACCATTTGAGTCGCCGAGTCTGGACAAGTCTTTGCGTATTACCGCTGCGCGCTCGGCCTCACTGCGGGGCAGCCTGGGCGACCCGGCTGGGCCAGGAAGCGGGTCCTCAGGGCAGGGACCTGGCCAACAGGGGGTGGCACTGGGGTGCGGCACCCCCAGGCTCCCATTACACCCAGGCTGCGCAGTTGGGTGCCCCTGCGCTCAGCACCCCCATTCTGCCAGCGCCCTGGCCACAGGGATCTAAGATTAAAACCAGAAACCTCCAGGAATAGGTCTCCAACCAAAACTGGCAGCCCTTCCCCCATGCCCGCCCTCCATCAGCCCCCGGGGGTGAGCACCAGGGCCAGATTATCCACTAGGCGCCATAGGCACGTTGAGGGCATGTGAAAAGTTTAGGGCCTAAAATAATTCATAACTGACTTGAAAATAAGAAAACAAAACTGATACATCAAACTTAATCATTTGTGCTCTTTAGTCAAGCCACACTGGGGGAGCGGGATAGCTCAATGATTTGGGTATCCCCTGCTAAACTCAAGGTTGTGAGTTCAGCCCTTTAGGGAGCTGGGGCAAATCCGTCAGGGATGGTATTTGGTCCTGCCCTGAGGGTAGGGGACTGGATGTGATGACCTCTCAGGTCCCTTCCAGCTCTATGAGATGGTCTATCTCTAATACACAGGTATTACACACAATCAAGTAACAGGTGTATTAGATGATAGGGCATTTCTCCCTTATATAGAGTCTAATTTAAAGGCCTACAATTATGAGAGTGCCCCTAGGGCCTATAAAGACCTTAACCTGGCCCTGGTGAGCACCCCGCTCTTATTTGAGGGGTCAGTACCTTGGCTGTATTAACCAGTCTGGTGACACCAATGGTATCGTATGCAGGAGAATTGTATGCTAGGCTATGGGGAATGGTGCCCCTTGAAAATCCCTGAAAATAAGGGGTCCTGTATTCTTCAGGAGGTAATTCCAGCCCACAAAGAGAGTCGTGCTGCTATTGCTTGGGGCCTGGGGACTGCAGTGTGTGAAAAGCACTGCAATGCTCTGCACTTGGGTGTGTATCCTGCACTCAGTCGGGTGTGTATGTGTGTGTGTAACTATGTGCAAGGCGTTATGTGTGAACAACTGAAAGGCAGAGTTTGTGTGTGCAAGGCAGCGTATGTATAACAGTGTTAGGCAGTATGTGTGTGTGTGCATGTAACTGCAGGGCTCTGTGTATGTGTAACTGTGTGCAACAGTGTTCCCTGTAAGCTGAGTGCTTGGGCGGCCACCCAAGAGAGATTCAAATGCCACCCACCTGATTAGTGCCCACAGCTGGCAGCATGTGTTTCTACTGGTGGTGCACATCTGTGTATGCCTTGGTGCACATAACAACATTTATTCCACAAATGGATGAAAAATAGAGGGAATCCTGGTGTGCAAGGCATGTCTCTCTGTGTAACTCTCTTGGCACCCCAAATATACACAGTCAGTATAATTCCAAGACCTTTCTGGGACCACGCCAGTGTGATAGCCTGGATCATCACAGAGGATTTGGAAGATTGTTATTTTCTGTATATCTGATCAAGTCCTCCCCTACAGATTTACATCGGTACAAATATGGTACTCATGGGTATGAAAACCCCCTCTGAGATGCTGCTATACTGACCTAATCCCTGGTGTAGACAATGCTATGTCGACAGGATCCCTTTTCCCATCAACAAAGCTACCTCTTCTCAGGCTACATCGACCTGAGATGCTCTCCTGTCAGTGTAACCTCAGGGGTGGACAATATTTTTGCAAGGGGGCCACTTCATGAATTTTAGTAGTGGTTGCAGGCTGGCTCTGCCCCCCGGAAAAGGCAGGGCCTCAGGCGGAAGGGGCAGGGCCTCGGAAGGAGCAGTTCCCTCTAGGCACCGTATGCCCCTGGTGGGGGAAGAAGACATTGTGTGCTTCCCTGCCTCCAGGCCAATCTGGACCTGGGGGTGGAGGAACAGCAAAGCGGGTCACGGGCCAGATCAATCAGCTTGGTGGGCCGGATCTGGCCCCTGGACCATATCTTGCCCACCCTTGGTGTAGCTGCATCTTCACCAACGTGCCATGGTGGTGCAAGTGTCCAAATGCGAGTGTGCACACGTGGGGGGAATTACCATTTGGCAACACGCAGTGGCTGTGCAAATCCAGCATCCCAGAATGCTGGCACGGTGCTGCCTCAGAAGACCTGCCAGATGGTAATTAGCCACTAACTGTTTTTACCCACCGTCGGGGAAACACACATTCTGCAGCTAATTTTGTGCACCAGATAGATTGAAAAAGAGATTGCAAAAGAAGGCAGATTCTTTATAAGGCTTATGTTACTAAAGACAGAGCAAAAAAACAAGTGATGATTATAGCAGTGTTAACTACCAACAGGTAACAGCCATGTATAGGTTATACTTGTTATAGGATGAACTAGAAAAGCAGGATCAAGGGCCTCAGAGGGGGGACTGCTGGGCGAAGAAAATGGACAGTGGAAGCATGTGACTCAGAGGACCAGGCAGAGGAAAAGATGGGTCAGTGAAGGAAAAATAGAGCTCAAGAACAGGTATGTGGAGCTGGAAAATGTAGAAGGGGTACAGCAGGTAGATAATGAAGATGGAAGGGTAAGGAAGAAGAGAAGAGTGGCTAGTCCCATAGATAAAGGGGAAGACTTAATGGAGACAACACCAATAATGAGCATTAGGATTACAAGGGAAAATAGGAATGGCAAGGACTTGCAGCCAGAGGAAGCTAGAGATAGACCAGAGAATTGCACTGTCACTAGGAAAAGGCAGGTCTATGTGATTGGGGACTCCTTATTGAGAAGAATAGATAGGCCTGTAACCAGAGCTGATCCAGAGAATAGAAGGGTGTGCTGTA